AAAAAACATCAAAGTGGATGTCAGAAGAGACACTGAAATGTGCTTTTGATCATAGAGCAGCTAAAGGAAATGTGAGAAAGGATGAAGACAGAGAGGTGAACAGAAATTTCAATGGGCAGCATGAGAAGATAACATCAAATATCATAATGAAATGTGCAAAGACATCAAGTTGGAAAACTACACAAGTGAAGAATACACTCAGCATATCTTAAACTGAAAGAGCTCAGAAAACATTCTAGCCCTCCCTTAGTTACAATATTCAAAGATTCTATGGGGCAAAATACTGAATGATGCAGGAATCATCAAAGGAAGCCACAAAGAATACACAAAGTCACTGTGTCAAAAAGAACTAATCAATGGTCCACCATTTCAGGAGGCAGCATACGAGCAAGAACCAATGGTGCTGAAAGAAGAAGTCTAAGCTGCTCAGAAAGCATTAGGCAAAAACAAGACTCCCAGCATTGATGCAATACTAATTGAAATGTTCCAACAAGATGATGAAGCACTGGAAGTACTTCCCTGTCTACACCAGGAAACTTTGAAGACGGCTACTTGGCCAACTAACTCAAAGAGATCCATATTTGTAAGATAGGTGGCCATTGCCAAGAAAGGTGGCCCAAAATAATGTTCAAATTATCGAACAGTATCATTGCTATCAAATGCAAGTAAAATTTGTCTGAAGACCATCCAACACAGGTTATAGCCATGCATGGCTAGGGAACTGCTAAAGGTTCAGTCTTGATTCTGAGGAGGACATAGAACAAGGAATTTCATTGCTGATATCAGATGGACTGTGGCTAAAAGGAGCAGAGAATACCAGAAAGATGTTTCCTTGTGTTTTATTGACTATGGCAAGGTATTCGACTGTGTGGATCATAACAAACTGTGGATAACCTTAAGAAGAATGAGAATTCCAGAACGGTTCATGCCCATGAGAAACTTATACATGGATTAAGAGGTAGTTGTGTAAATGAACAAGGGAATACTGCATTGGATTAAAATCAGAAAAGGTGTGTGACAGGGTTGTAAGATCTCACCATAATTATTCAAACTGTATGCTGAACAAGTAATAGAGAAGCTGGTTTATCTGAAGAAGAATGTAGCATCAGGATTGGAGGAAGGCTAAGTAACAACTTGGGATGTGCAGATGACACCATCTTGCTTGCTGACAGTGAGGAGAACTTCAAACACTTGCTGATGAAGATCAAGGATTGCCATCTGGATTATAACTCAACGAAAGGAAGACCAAAATCCTCACAACTGGACCAGTAGGTAAGATCATGATAAATTGAGAAAAGGTTGAAGTTGTCGAGGATTTTGTCTTGCTTGGATCCACAATCAATGCTCATGGAAGCAGCAGTCATGAGGTGAAAACACATGTTGCATTAGGTAAATCTGCTGCACCAGTCTTCT